TCACTGCAAGAGACAGGATTATCTACATTGCATGCCTATAACCTGTGGCTGTGAACTTCATCACTGTGAGTGCCAGGATTACCTACACTGATAACCTATACTCTGTGGCTGGGTCAGTCAGGTCAGTGCTGCTGCCTGCTTATTATTGTGACCTGCACTTAAGGGTACCAACCCTGTGCAACCGGGGTGAGCCCCCATTATACGTACTTGTGTACCACGCTGCTTATTGGGAGACTAGCTGTTGCAGTTCTCTCTAACTGGGTGAGCCCCAGTTTTTATAAGGTCACCAACTATACCCTGCTGGGGTTTTTATACTGGGTGGAGTTGTTACCCACCACAAGTGCCACATCAACTGACCCTACGCCTATATATTTAAGACCTGGGTGCCCCATTTATACTGTGCCTATTCGTGATTTATATCAGCCTACCCTTATCATGGAAGATTCCCAGAACGTCCCTGTGGACTTCCAAGCAATGATCAACGCAGCTGTCGCTGCTTCGGTGGAGAAGGCACTCTCCAAGGCACGCACTACAGAGGCGCCCAAGCCTACCCGCAGGCGACCTCGCCAGGACTCAGATTCGGATATGTCCGACTATCGGATCAGGGAGGATTTCCGTCCTAGGAAACGCCATGAGAAAGGCGAAGATCAGGCACTAAAACCACTTAAGGGTAAGGCGCATGCCAAGCGCAAATCTGCCAAAGCTAGTACCCCGACCCCACGTCAGGATTACTCTTCGGACGAAAGCAAGGGCCTTCCCATTCCATGTCAGTGCTAGATGAATGGCAAGCTGACGTCTCTGATTCGGACGACACTTGGGGTTCGGACGAGAAATCTGTCTCTGCTCTCATGCGGGAGACTCTTCTGGGTGCGGCCCAGACAGGGGGTACTGAAGACACTGCGGACGCAGAACACCCTCTTGATTCGGACACCATTTTAGACCCTTCGGGTCAGGCGATGTTTGATCCCCGCAACATCCGCCACCCCAGATCGGGAGACTGGTCACCCCAGAACACCTCTCCAGGTTCATGCACCTGTGGCTTCGCAAGCCCCTGGAGAAAGAGGTCCGCAACCGGCTCAGATCCGAATGCCCACGCCCTTCCCTGCCAGATAAAGTGGCTCACACTCCCGAGTTTGATAAGGTTATGACAACCTTCATGATGCGCAGTGGGAGACACCCTCGACGAGGGGTAGAGAAAGGCCTATTCGGCACGCAGGATAACCTGCTGGACTCCATTGGCCCTCTGGCCCGTATTATGTACCTGGCAGATGACGCCCTTGCCAGAGCCGATTCCTTCTCTGCCGAAGACATCAGGGAATGGGCACACGACGTGCGCGAATGGGCACAACGGTGTTTTTGTTTCATTGGAAACACTAATGTTACGCTCTCTTCTGAGAGACGGAAAGCAGCGTTATACCGTATTAACGGTAAATTGGCAGAGCTTGGCACTAAAGAGATTGGGCCCCAGGCACAAGGGAAATTGTTTGGTGAACCGTTCCTCAAGGAACTTAACAAACACGTGAACGTGTTCACTTCACTTAATAAGGCGCAGTCCTCTATGCGCAGAGTCTTCCGGAGCACTACCACCAGAGGAGTTTTTGGAAGGGCTGGCCGGCAACGGGGCCGTGCCGCCAGCCGATTCTGGCCTTCAGGCCCCCGCACTCAACCGACACCTTTCTACCCAACACGAGAGTACAGGCAACAACCTTTCTCCCGAGGCTCGGACAGAGGCCGGGGACCACGCGGACGCGGACATTCCCGCTTTGCTACAGGTAAGCACCCGTATTCCTCCATTGTTACCTTGCACCCGCCCCGCGGGACGTATTTCCCATTCTTTCCAGAATTGGGCGCTCTGTCCTCAGACAAGTGGATCCTACAAATGGTACAGGGATATGTCATAGACCTAGTAGGGACTCCCCTCCAGACACAACCTCCTCACCCCATCCACATGTCATCTTACGACCAATACCTCATCAACGCGGAACTACGCGAACTTCGGGACAAAGGGGCTATCCAGCCGACCTACGACGGGGGAGGTTATTTCAGCAATATTTTCCTGGTTAGGAAGAAGACGGGAGAATACCGTCCAGTCATCAACCTACGCGGCCTCAACGCGTATGTGGCGTACCGCCACTTCAAGATGGAGGGCATCCACCTCCTGCGGGACCTCCTACAAAGCAACGACTGGTTCACCAGACTAGATCTAAAAGATGCATACCTGTCGGTCCCAGTACATCCGGACTGCCGAACCCTCCTACGTTTCCTCTGGCACGGCCGTCCTTGGCAATTCACCTGCCTCCCTTTCGGGCTCAGCTCGGCTCACCAAACTTCTGAAACCGGTGGTGGCCCACCTGAGATCCAGGGGCGTCCGATGCATCATCTACCTGGACGACCTGCTTCTCTTTTGCTCCAACGAGCGCAGACTGCACCAACACACTCATCTCGCAGTAACACTACTGGAATCTCTGGGCTTCGTGGTGAACCGCCAGAAATCAGAATTGATCCCATCCCAGACAATACAATTCCTGGGCTTCGAGATCGACTCGACTACATGCACTCTAAAGCTTCCAGCCTCGAAGATCTCGTCTATTCGCAAGGAGATTCGCAGAGCACTCCGTCGCGACTCCATCCCTCTCCGCAACCTGGCCAGGATCGTGGGACTCCTCTCCGCCTCCATTCAGGCCATATTCCCGGGTCCCCTCCACTACAGAGCCATGCAACACCTCAAGGCGAGGTACCTACGCCACAGGCCCACATAGATCAAATCGTCCCGGTGACGACGGAAGTTCGCGAGGAACTATCATGGTGGCTGGACAGCATGCAAGCCTCGAACGGCAGGGCCATATTCGGAGACACCCCAGACTTCGTACTGGAGTCAGACGCCAGCTTGTGGGGCTGGGGCGCCACCAACGGGTCCATATCCACAGGAGGAACATGGACAGCTCAGGAACTCTCCATGCACATAAACTGCCTGGAACTCCTGGCATGGTCCTTCGCGATCCGCAGCCTGGCCCGAGACAGATCCAACTGCTGCATCCTCCTACGCATGGACAATGTCTCCGCAATCCGGTATATCAATCGCCTGGGGGGCGCACATTCACGTCTACTGTCAGACATCACAAAGGACATTTTCGACTATTGCCTACCCCGCAACATCGCTCTCCAGGCCGAATACCTGCCCGGGGAAATCAACCTCATGGCCGACTGGTTCTCTCGCCACTGGAGGGACGTCAGCGATTGGAGACTGAACACGAGGATCTTCAGAGCCCTGGCAACCCGGAGGGGTCCCTTTCACCTGGATCTCTTCGCGTCCCGCAACAACCATCAAACCCCGGAGTTCTTCAGCTGGCTCCCGGACCCGGAGAGCAAGGCGACGGACGCTTTTCTACAACAATGGCCAACGACCGGAGCCTATGCATTTCCCCCATTTGCCATGATCGCGAGAACATTACACCAGATGCGGACGCAACAGGTCACTCTGGTCCTCATAACACCCTTGTGGCAGAGCCAACCATGGTTTCCGGACCTCCTGGCCACCTCCTGCAGGGATCCTCTCCTCCTTCCATCCTTTCTGGAGCTGCTCACGGATCCCAAAGGGAATCTCCACCCGCTTCTCTTGGAAGATCGACTACCCCTGGTGGCTTGGACTCTTTCCGGGGTTCCTGGCAAGTCAGCGGACTATCGCAGGCTACTAGGGACCTCTTATGGGATTCCTGGGCCCCCGGAACTAGACGCTGCTACCTTTCAGCTTGGACCTCCTGGTCTACTTGGTGCATGGAACGGGACGCCGATCCATTTACAGCACCTATTACCATGATTCTCAATTTCCTTTCATCCTTGTTTTCGTCGGGCCGCTCCTATCGGTCTGTTAACGTTTTTCGCTCCGCGATTTCGGCGGCCCATACCCCCGTAGGGGACCTCCCGGTCGGCAAAGACCCTCTCGTCTGCCGCCTGCTCCGTGGTATGCGGCTCCGCCGCCCCCCAGCTCCCAGGTACTCCCACCTATGGGATGTTGGGCTGGTCCTCCGTTTTTTCAAGGATTGGCTCCCTAATGACCGCCTCTCCCTACGCCAATTGTCGGCTAAGTGCGCTTTTCTGCTCTGTCTCGTGTCCTTTCGACGGGTATCAGACGTTCGAGCCTTCAACGTTGACGCCTTCGAGATTGCCCCGGAGGGGGTCACTTTCCACGTTTCCCGTCGCACTAATCGGGCTCGACTTCGGTATTCTACCCTTTTTTCCCAGACGATCCGCAACTCTGCGTCGTGTCCACCCTGCGCAGATACGTTTCGGCTACCTCCTCGCTCCGGAACTCGGCGTCGGGCCAACTCCTAGTCTCCTATGTTCGCCCCCACGCGCCGGTCTCGGTCACCACACTGGCCCGGTGGATTTGATGGATCCTCTCCCTCGCCGGTATAGACCCTACTTTCGGCGCCCACTCCGTTCGAGGGGCGGCGGCTTCCTCAGCCTTCCTAGCGGGGGCGTCACTGTCAGACATCCTCCGAGCGGCGGATTGGTCTCGGGAATCCACTTTCCGTACCTTTTATTTTTGCACTCCCCCTTCTGCTGGGACATCTCTCCTTCAGCGTTAAAATTGCAAAATAGGAAGCCTCCTGTCATGTTATAAAATTGAAGATTATGCTAGCTTTAGTGTACTAATAATCTTAATTTTAATAAGGACAGGAGGCGAGTATTTTCCCTCCCTTTTGTTCCCTACCCTGACTCCTCGGGGGAGTGGATCTCAAGGTGACGGACTTTTTCTTTTGGCTTGTCAGTGCTTGCTACTTTCCTTGGGGTGCATGCAGTTTCTATCCCGTCTCTCATCCCAGATCTAGGCCTTAGACAACCAGGTTACGTTGCACCACATGTTACACATAACACGTAATTACCTTACATTACACTCACTACTGTGTATATCATCACTTAGGTTGACACACTCTGATATGGCTCTCATGTGTGACCAGTTACGGTTCAGTACCTAACCTATTTCATACTCTTCTTTCAGTGTAATCCTCTTCAGGACCTCCACTGGTTGTTGGTTTGGTTACCCTCACGACTCCGCTTACGAGGATAAAGGCTTCGTTTCGTCTTCTCCCGACCTCGTTTACCAGGAGTCTCATCAAGTTCTGCTCACCAGAGACCGTTGTTGATTGTTTCGTTGGTTTCTATCGTTTCGAGCTCAGTCTGGACTTGGATGTCGCTTCAAGAAAGAGGAAGTGTACAGGCAGCATGACCCTTATATATACCATGCTGCTCAGTGATTTAATGTTACTTTTTACGTTTTTCTTTACTGCTGTGGAGTTTAGTAAAGAGAGTTAATGCAAAATACTCGCCTCCTGTCCTTATTAAAATTAAGATTATTAGTACACTAAAGCTAGCATAATCTTCAATTTGTATTCCTAACACTATATAGAGCCTCTGGTCTATAGGTTAAAAACTCTTTAGTCACTTACATGGGCGTCTGCAGGAATTTTTCCAGGGGGGGCATAATTGTAATAACATCCGTGCTTGGCCCCTTTTTGACAGTGTCATGAAAGGGAAGGGGCATAGTCATTATCACATAAAGCCAGGGTGAATAGCGTTTTCACAACTATGGTGTCAGGAATACATGTTTGTAGTCCTGACACTAAAGTGTTCCCTTAAGCAAATTAAAGGAACATTCTGGTCACCATAACAACTTCATCTAAATGAAAATGCTAAGATGCCAGGAGGCCCCTGGGCGCTCTCTTTCCTTTAAGGGGTTAAACCGCTCTCAAATGGTTTAACCCCAAAGGCTTCCTCCACCTCCAGATCTCCAGGTCGCTCAGTGGTATTTGGCTTCTGAAACGGAGTGTCAGGAAGTGCAGGCTGACATCAGGCATGAGTGCTACATATTGGCTAGAGTGGTCAGCTGACGCTCTAAGCCAATCGCTGGTTCCTGGTTCATAAAAATTTTTTACTTTTTTATGAATGGGGAGCTACTGATTACCAATCAGCGGCACCCCTACCCTGACACTCAGCAAATATAAGTGAACACATTAACACTGATATTTTTTTTTATCTAGGGAGATGAGAAGGTCCAAATTTTTCCTGCCAGGCCCAGGTACCTAAGCCTTATGATGTGGTGTCCAGAATGAAGTGGAGGAATCACTTCACTTGTTCTTCCTGCTCCAATCTCCTTTTCTTGTCCTTCATTTGACACAGTCTTCTTTTTCTTCTGACACTGTTTTCACTCCTCCTTGGCTCTTTCTGCTCCTTTACCTTTCTGCTACTTTATTTTTCTGATCCCTTTCAGCTTATTGCAGACCCTTTCTGCTCCTTCTACGTTACCTTTACCTTTGTGCTCCTTGCTGTCCCTTCCTGTTCCTTTCTGCTCCTTTCCTACTTTACCTTTGTGCTCCTTCTGTCCCTTCCTTCTCCTTGCAGACTATTCCTGCTCCTTGCTGCCCCTTCCTCCTTCATGCTACCCATTCCTGCTTCTTGCTGACCCTTCCTGCTGATTTCTGCTCCTTATCCTACTTTGCAGTTGTGCTCCTTCTGCCCCTTCCAACTCATTGCTGCCCCTTTCTGCTCCTTGCTGTCCCTTCCTGTTTCTTTCTGCTCCCTATCCTACTTTACCTTTGTGCTCCTTCTGTCTTTTTCTGCTGCGGCTGTCCCTTTCTGCTCCTTGCAGACCCTTTCTGCTTCTTGCTGACCATTCCTGCTCATTTCTATTCCTTTCTGCTCCTTCTCTTTCTTTACCTTTGTGCTACTTCTGCTCCTTCTCCTACTTTACATTTCTGCTCCTTGATGTCCCTTCCTGCTCATTTCTGTTCCTTCTCCTTTCTGCACCTTGATGTCCCTTCCTGCTCATTTCTGTACCTTCTCCTTTCTGCACCTTCTCCTACTTTACCTTTGTGCTCCTTCTGTCCCTTCCTTTTCCTTGCTGCCATTTCCAGCTCCTTGCTAACCCTTCCTACTCCTTGCTGACCCTTCCTTCTCCTTGCTGATCCTTCCTTCTACTTGCTGACCCTTCCAGCTCCTTGCTGCCCCTTTCTGCTCCTTGATGTCCCTTCCTGCTCACTTCTGTTTCTTCTCCTTTCTGCTCCTTCTCTCACTTTACCTTCCTGCTCCGTGCTGACCCTTCCTTTAGGCTGTCTCCCCCATCCCTCACTTTCATGATCTGTAGGCTGCCACACTCCCTCACTTATCTGATCTGTAGGTGGATCCCACTATCTCTAACTTACCTGATCTGTAGGCTGCCCCCCATCCTTTACTTACCTGATTTGTAGGCTGCCCCCCACCTCTCACTTACCTGATCTGTAGGCTGCCCTACCTATCTCTCACTTGCCTGATCTGTAGGCTGCCCCGCTATCTCTCATTTACCAGATATGTAGGTTGCCCCCATCTCTCACTTGCCTGATATGTAGGCTCCCCCCATCTCTCACTTACCTGATCTTTAGGCTGCACCTCCATCCCCCCATCTCTCACCTACCTGGCCTGTAGACTGTCTCTGCAGTCTGGGAGTTTCTGGCTGCTGCCCTGCAGATTCAGTCAGGAGAGAGAAGCAGGGATAAGATGTAGTTTCCTATCCCTGCCTCTCTCAACACACAGCACGACCTACCGGCCGGCGCCGGTATTGCAGTGTTTTCTCATTCTGAAAATAAAAATACCGGCACAAGCTGAAAATTCAGGGGGGGTTGGGGAGGGGCACTTCCTTGCCACCCCCTGCGGACGCCCATGGTCACTTACCTGATTCCAGCACGGATGTCCCTCTGTGGGTCAGTGCTCTGCCTCCACTGACATCATCCTGATGTCAAGTGGGGGGGATAAGGCGTGTGTGCGGTGAGTGACGCAAGCTCATTAGTCCCTCCCCATAGGAAAATATTACTTCAATGCTTTCCTATGGTGATTTTACTGATGCTGTATGTCCACGTCCAGTATCTGCTAGGCAACCAAAAGTCAGCTACCAGGAAGTGCATCTAGTCGGTGTCTGAGTGACAGCCACTAGAGGCAGTCTTAGTCCTGCAATGTATGAAAATAATAAGAGAAAGGCTGCGCACACAAGTAGAAATAAAGTCCAATGTAAAGGAAAGTCCCAATGTTTTTATCCTTACAGATGGTCTTTGTTAATGACGTCTTCTCTTAATGTAGCGGTTCCACTTATATGAAAGAAAAAAGAGGAGAGAGAAGGGCGACCAATAGTGTAGTATATAAAATTCTGATGTGAACATAAAATAATAATAATATAGAACTCACATTTGCCAGAGCTATTGTCCTAGCTCTGGGTTATGGTGCATACAGCGGTTTAATCCCCGCTTGTGGGATTTAAATGGGTTCCTCTCTGTGGTAGGTGTCCAATTCTCGGAATAAAAAAAACAGCCGATAGTGCTCACTGTATAGCAATATGGATAAAATAATAAAAGAATGTACTTACAAAGCAGGAGCAGATTTACTGCTCCGTGATGACAGCTTGGGTGGATTGATCCCCACCTAGGATTTCTTTAAGTACAGGAAACTTCCAGGGATTCTCAAGGGTTTTTTTTTTTTTTTTAAAACCAGTAAAAAAGGATAAAATAATTAAAAAGGCCAGGATAATAAAAAAGAAAATTATGTGTCTATAAAAAAGATTATTGGTACAAACAGATAACCAAAAATACTTTAATATATAAAAGAACACAATAATTAAATTTCCATAACGCATTTCGTCAAAGACTTTTTCAAATGGAATAACAACAATAGTATAGAATAGAATAACAACAATAGTCACTTATTTTAGATACATAGACGACCTCTTTTTTATTTGGGACGGATCAGAAAATCATCTTACTGAATTTATCAACCATTTAAATACCAATAATAGGGGTATTATTCTTACGTATGAATTTAGTAAAAAATCCATCAATTTTTTAGATCTTAGTATTTTTATTAATAAAGGACTACTCCAAACTAAAACTTTTTTAAAAAAAGTATGTGTAAATACAGCCATAGAAAAATCTAGTTGCCACTATAAACCCTGGCTTGAGAGCGCACCAAAAAGCCAATTTTTACGTCTTCGTAGAAATTGTTCAGAACTTTCAGATTTTAATGAGCAAGCAGAGTTTTTAAAAGACAAATTTATGGAAAAGAAATATTTAGAATCAGATTTAATTACCACAATTAATACAGTAAAACAAAAAGAAAGAAAAGAACTTCTGATGTATAAAAATAAAGAAAAAGACGAATCAATAGTACTCCCAGTGATTTTTAATTTTAACAATAAAAGTAATGATGTTAAAAAAATAATAAGAAAGCACTGGCATATACTTAAACACGACGAGATACTTAATCCCATCATACCCATCCATCCGAACATTGTTTTTAGAGGAGCACCAAATTTTAAATCCATTTTAACTACTAATTTTACTAAACAATCTCCCCCAAAATATGTATCCTTTTTTCCTCAGACAAAAGGTTTTTACAAATGTAAACAATGTATTGTATGTAAAACCACAGATCATTCTACTCCATCTAAAGTCACAAATTTTATGTCTAACCAAACAAAAAGAGTGTACAATATTTATGATTTTATCTGTTGCAATACGAAAAATGTTATCTATCTGCTTGAGTGTCCATGTGGCCTCCAATATGTGGGGATGACCACAAGGTGCTTAAAGATAAGGCTAAGTGAACACTGCAGAAATATCAAAAATGGGTACTTAAACCATACAGTATCCAAACATTTTATTATACACAACAAAGATCCACGCCTACTAAAATGTATAGGTATAAAGAAATGTTCTACCTCCTGGCGTGGAGGTGATATAAAAAAGCTGCTTGGTAAAACAGAGATGGAATGGGTGTATAAACTCAAGACCCTTATACCCCATGGTCTTAATGCAGACTTTGATCTATACAATTTCTTATGAAAATAGATATAAAATGATGTCTGTATTTCTTATATTTCAAATGTTGCTTTTAATACCCTCTCTGAGTATGCCAATATTTTTTAATATCATGTTTGCACTTAAGGTTTTTTATTGTTGTACCTTTAAAGTATCTTACTTTTTATAGTAAATTATTATTAATTTTTTATTTTATTTTTTCTAATTATTAGTCCTAATTATACTTCATATTAAGGCACTTCTGTTTTACTTTATGCCCCACTATATTATCTTCCAGAAATTCTAATTTGTATTAATAATTAGCCTGTACTACATTTCCCATCAGGCACTTCGGCTTCAACTTCCGGTTTGCGGAAGTGCCGATTAATTTGTACATAGATTTAGGCATTATATT